GCCTCCTTCAGCCCCATCAACACCACAAGCGCCTCCTTCAGCCCCATCAACACCACAAGCGCCTTCTTCAGCCCCATCAACACCACAAGCACCTACCCCAGCCCCATCAACTCCACAAGCACCCACCCCAGCCCCAGCCCCAGCCCCATCAACACCAAAACCTACCGCATCTGGATCACCGCAGCCTCTTCCAGCAGCATTACCGCAACCCCAACCCACTCAAAAGAACACTTCAGCATCTGATTCCTCTTCTAAGGTTAATTCAACACAGATACCATCTTCTACTCCTGTTAAAGAAGCAGCTTCTCCCATTAAGAACGCTGTATCTGCAACAACTAACTCTACCAACAATGCCACCACCTCATCAACAGGAGCAAGTGTCGCAAACAACTCTACAAACAATGTCACAAGCTCCTCAACAGGAGCAAGTGCATCAAGCAATTCATCTGGCTCTTCAGGTAGTACCGCTGCTGTTACTCCTGGGGGATCTGCTGGTTCCGAAGGATCTAGCAAAGTTACTGCCACTGAACAAGAGTTTACTTCTGCTGTTTCTGCTTGCGGATTTCCCCAGCCATCTTCGGAAAAGTATAAAGCATTCATTGCGGGTATCCCTTTTTCAGCCATTAACTCGAAACGAGAACTCGCCATGTTCTTGGCCAATGTCCTACATGAATCAGATGGTCTCCAAGCCAAATCTGAAATTCAGTGTCAAGCCAACGGTTGTAAAGGCCAGTACGACGCTGCGGCAGATGGTACCGTTTTCTTTGGACGTGGATATATCCAATTGACATGGAAAGCAAATTATGCTGCAGCTTCTAAAGATCTTTATGGAGATGAAAAGATCTTGCTTTCGAACCCAAATTCTGTTGCAACTGACGAAAAAGTAGCATGGGCTACCGCTTTTTGGTACTGGAAAACAAGAGTACATACTGCGCCTGGCGTAACGGAAGGAAAGTTTGGAGCTACTATTAAGGCCATTAATGGCGCCCTCGAATGCGGTGGCGGCAGAAATCAAAAAGCCGTCCGTCGCTTTGAAATGTATTCTAAAATTATGAAAGCCTTTGGGATCAACGAGACCCCTATTGAAAGTGGCTGCTACAATTGATGTTTATTATGTATTATTTTGATTCCATAAACCTTTTGAATAAAATTAAAAAAGTAAATAGGTCTGTTTACTGCTTGAACCATCCGATATTGTCTTTGATAAGATGCCGGTTGTTGCAACCGTCACACTCAACCAGAACGAGTCCTTTGTTGTATGCGATTTTGGATATCGACTTGTAATGCCTTTTTGAGCAAACTTTGCATGTAAAGCCCAGTAAAAACCGAGATGATGGATCCGGATTGGATCTAATTGAATTTACAATGCTTCTGAAGGACTCATACTCTGGAGAGCTTGGTGGAATTTCTGGGAAAGAGTCTATTTGGTGCAATTGGATCGATGAATTATTAATATGAGGTACATTTTCTCTTTTAATGGCAGAAGAAAAAGATCTGTGGAGACCCGATCTAATAAAAAAGGTAGCTCTGAATTTATGCCACCTTGGCAGCATTTAAAACGAAAAATAAAAAAATTAAATAAAAAAAACCGCTAACCCTTCGGCGGATCGGTTTTTATAACTTACAATTGAATCGTTGATTTTAAGCGCCAAATGGCGCCCTCATCATTTATGCCCGCATTTTAGTGCAAGGGTATTTATTGCTTTTCTTCAAAAATGATGATAACCAGAGCCAGATCCTCCATTAAGAACTCACAAAAGTCCCCCCTCTCAACCGCTACGTCTGGATCTCACGTCAATGACAAGGATGATTCAAACAAAGAAAACGCCCAGGAATTGGCAAAAGTAGCCTCTTCGCCGCCGGTAACCAGAAAGCGGAGATTGTTTGCAAAGCTATCTTTAGACGGCGTCAACAATTTGCAAAATTCTCAACAATTAGAATCACTGGCCATCGCAACATGTTTCACCAAAAGAGTCTTGTCAAGCGGAGATCAAAGTCCCCGATTAAACAGCGGCGGACATCATTCGCTTGATAATGACCACTATATTGACATTTTCGACTGGTTCAACGTGATTAGATCTTGCTTTCATAGGTCTTTTATTCCGTCTTCTTCATCGATTTTATCGTCAAGGAGCACGGAATTAGATTTTTTCGAACTCTTTTGGTCAAGAAACATCACCAAGCATGACTCTGAGCAACAGCCAAGAAATGCTTGTTTATTTGTGACTGGGCCACCTGGATGTGGAAAGTCTGCGTTTGTTCACGATTTTATTTCACGAAAATCAGTAAGATGCTGCTGACAAATGCTAATATACTAGAATGAAAAAATTAAAATCATTAGCATCAATTGCCTGTCCATCTCTGATGTTAGGCGATTATACCAACAAATTTTTGAGCATCTTGACATCTCAGCCAATGATTCAAGCTTTTCGTTCAGTGAAATTTTGGCCAAAGAACTCTCGATCTCAGAAACTAAAATGTATTTGATTTATGTTTTTCTTTAGTGTATTAGTTTTAGATGAAGTCGACCATCTTTTTAATGTCTTTAAAGCAAACAGATTTGACGACAAAAACAATCTACTTGTAAATCTTGTCAAGTGGACTCAACTCTATAAAATGAACCTCACTGTAATTGGCATTGCAAACTCGCTTGACCTGATTGATAGGTGCTCAGAAGCATTTTCACTTGCGGACAGTAAGACCATCAATTTTTATTTGAAGTTCAAACGCCAAACCATTGTCCTTTCAGCCCACTCACATACGACCAGCTTGTAAATGTGGTTTCTACAAGGATTTCCGATGCCGTTTGCAATAACAAAAACCTTACAATCCATGCTCACAAAAAGCACTTGGGATTTCACCCACTAGCATTGGAGCTGTGCAGCCGGAAATTTTCAACCACCGGAGATATTAGAAAAGTTTTTGACATCTTCAGCTTGGCCGTGGACATTGCAGAAAGAGAATATGTCGCATCCGGCGATGCACTTTCTCATTTGGTCTCGTATTCCCACATTCAGCAGGTCACAACACCAACTTTTGGGAAAATAACAACCGCTCAGTTTATTGAGCTTCCTCTTCAGCATCAAGTTATTCTATTGGCCGTTTTGCTATTGGAGAGTGAAGAGCTAACTTTGACTTTCCAGGCAATTTATGCCAAATATCAGTGGATATGCTTGAACAAGTCCCTCCAAATCCCATCTTTGGATTATTTGGAATTCTGCCAAGTGGTCCAGCTCCTTGAAGGAAAAGGCCTGCTAAAACACTGTCAGAGCCACCCAAGTAAAACCAAAACCTCAATCGTGGATTTCTACCAGCTACGAGTTTCAAAGCACACATTGCTGAAAATCATCACCGATGTGCCTCTATTGTGTCCATTTGTAATTAAAAATTGAATATTCCCGTAATTAAAATAATAAAAAATTAAATTCACAATTTGCATCTGAAAAAGCTAAAATGTAAAATTTTCTGATCAGCACTTTTGTATTTATTTTGATAATTATTATGATGTCTCTATCAGACAACTCTTCATCTGTTACGGAGTTCACAAACTTTTCTGAAGAAGAAACCAATGGGATACTCGATATCCCTACATCAGCAGTAACCACACTGAACTCAAACGAGGCTTATCTTCATGAAAGTTCGGTCTCTTTAGTGGCGCCTGACCATCAGTTTGGCGCCATTCCCCAAATGATGTCTCCCTCTGTAAGTAGTGTTATGGGAACTCTGGGAACAGTACAGGGAAGATTACAACAGAAACCAGTATCGTCAACCTCCACCCCATCAATGTCATCCTCTCCACATTCACCCCACAAAACCCTTACTCTCTGTGAAAGAGTCGAGTTGATAAAGCTGGCTTCTAATCCAGATGTTAAGGTTCCTGATCTTGTTAGAATGTTCAACGTCTCGCATACCACTGTGTATAATATTTTAAGGAAAAAAGATGAAGTCCTCCAACTCTGGTCTACTCATGGTCCTGACTACAAGATAAGACAACGCCGTAGCAAAGATGGAATTTGCTCCGGTACTTTGGTCAACGACATGGGATCAATTATTAAGAAATCGAAACTTTCTCCAGTGACTTCATCTTCCGGCGTGTCGGACGAGCATCACTATCTTACAGGGGCATATAATATGGATGAGTCTGACTTGACAAATTTTCAAACAACCCCCTTTCACATTACTACAGTTGTTGATGCTATTAGATCTATTGGCGACATTGAGTGCTTTTTCAGGGATCGAGGGATGGATGAACTTGCAGGCTTATCGAGAACACTTTATGAAAAGGCATCACAGATCATGGAACCAAAAGAAGATCAGGTGGAATAATTCTGTAGGTAGATGATACCTATAAATAAAGAATTAAAACACAAACGGCACCCTCAAAGCTTTTCGTCACACACTTAAAGCGAGCTTGACAATGGGGATGATCTTACGCGTTTATTATTGTTAAAAATTGGTATCAATTTCAAATAGGGCCGATGAGCTGACCTTCACAGCCCGACGATTCGCTTGCCTGGAGCTTCATGGGTAGAGTGAGTTTTGGCGGCAGGTGCCGATTTCTTTGTCTTTCTAACAACAACGGAGAATCCGTCAGCTTCCTTGGAATCTGAGGCAAGTGGAGTAGCAGTCTTTTTTTTTGCCGATACAAGTGTAGGGGGGAGCAGCCCGTTAAGGGATGGAGTACTCGCACGTGCTTCAGTAAAACCGGCAATAAACTCGCTTATCTCTGATGCGGTTGGCAAAAACTCTGTAAGAATATCTTTCATCTGATCCACGGAAAGGGGAAACAGCAAAGTTGTCAGCGTGGTGGAGTCAATGTTTTTTATATTCATTCTGGAGAGCTCTTTGGATACCCATTTTCCAAGAGCGGCTGCCGAATCTGATTTTTCATTTTTCACGTCCGATTTAGAAGATTGTGATGGCTTCCCTTGAGACTGGAAGGCTTCTTGGGGTTGGGGTTGGGATTTGGATGTCACATTCGCAGAATTTGTTGCATTAGAGGCCTTGGAAGGCGTTGGTTTTCCCTCCACAGGCTCGGCGTGGGAACCAAATCCAGAACTTGCAATTGAAGACCAAGAGGTAGGTTTGGACCTTACATTGGCTACAGCATGTTCCAGTGGCTGAGCAGATTGAGGCTCCGGAATCCGTTTGCTTCGAGAATTTTCTTGAATGGAGGTTCTAATATTAGCAGCGGGATCGGCCATATTAGTTGATGTAGCCCAACCTTTGAATTTTGTAGCTGAGATGGATTTTTTTTCAGGGTCTTCTATAGGCGTAGCTTGCTCCGTTTTCTTTTGTGCATCATCTTTAATTTCTTCCGATGGGAGGGGGACATGTTCCGGGGTTTTCCCCGAATTTATAGGCTCCGTAATGGAAGGCTTTAAATATTCGGTTTCGCTATTCTGTGTGATAGGATTGGACTTTTGAATGGAAGAATGGGATTCTTTTTCTTGCGTAACAATGATTTCAACAGCAGCCATCGGTTCTGGTTTAGAAGATTGCGGCTGTTTAACCGAGTAAACAATGTTTTTGGCCTGATTAGACCATGGCCAATTGTGGTTATACAAATTGATCCACTCAGAGAGGGGAACAAAGTCGGAAACTATAGAGAGATTGCTCAGATTATTGAACGTAGACGCGGAATCAACATCGGGCCTTACAAGCATTTTTAAATCAAAATATCCAGCTTCACTCCAATGAGTCATTTGCTCAGACGGGAATGGGCCTTGAATATTTCCGTACGGGTCCTTGTAATACCAGAGGTTGAAGAAGGGAATTGCGACGTTCAATTCACCTTCGGAACTTATTGAATTTTGAAAAAGAGTTGCCTCCAAGCTCTCCGCTGTGATGATTTTTGAGGAAATAATCGAGGAGAGCCTCGATTGCTGAATGGGAATTCTTGATGACCGAGCAGTTGCTGCATCTTTTTTCGGAAATTCGGAAGTGATAAAGTTCCCAGAAGAGTCGAACGAACCAACAGAAGCGCTAGGGTCGGCCCATGGATCTTCCATCGAAGAAGAATCCAACTCTCTAGACTTGTACGGCGCCATGGATTCAAACTGCGAGACAAAAGAGTCTATTGATTTTTTTGGTTGCTGGTTTTTTTCATCTGCATGCTGCTGGTAATGATGTCGATTGTGGTGGCCATAGTTTTGTTGGCTATCCCCAGATCCATCACTATTCGCCCTGTTGCCGTGATGTTGGTTGCCATATGCAGAGCGATGCTGCCCTTGGAAGCGACGACCGCCGCCTCTTTGGGTAATAAATTCTGAAGAATCCCCATATGTAGCTGCTCGATTGTTCCGAGAATATCCATGATGTTGAGTAGAATTATTTTGCTTGTCACCGATGTTACCATTGGCATTCATAGGCTTACGAGGTTGAGGAATCGCAATCGGCGAATCCATGACCGTTAAATCTTCAAACGAAAATACAGAATATAAAATTGGCGAGAGCAGAGAAAAGTCATCTGCCTTTTGAGAATATACCCCGGCCTCTGAAAACTCCTCACCATCAACAGAAGCAGTAATGAACACATCTTGATGGATGCATGTTACACTGGCTGGAAGAGGAAGTTCTGATCTCTTGGGGTGTATTGGGCAAGAGGAAAGGATATTTTTTATGCAAAGACGAGGAGCATCGACATGCGCGGCATTTTGAGCAAATGCCTGGGTATCAGCAATGCAAGAAGTCATGAAAGAGCGTATCAAATGTAAAAATTTTTGATTTTAATGCAAATAAATTGCATGGTTTTTTACTTTAATTTATTGCAATAAAGTTATTGTTAATCATGCAATTCTTGTTTTTTTCTATTTTCGAGTCTTTGTTGTTTGAATTTAGACAATTTGACAGAGCCATCACGGTTTCCATCGTCATCTATAGTAAAAATAAAAATTAACCATTTCGTTCATGTGAGCTATCCACCATTATCACAGACCCGTCCCCGTCCTCATATTTGAAATGCAGCGAAATATCGGTGGGTATTTCTTTCGCGTCTCTAAGAAGCTTGTATTGCCTTTGTAGCTAAATTGTAATGCAATCAAAAATGTACGTTTTCTATCAAAATGCAGGGATCCTCTTCCTCGCTCAAATTGACATCATCCTCACCGTCGTCATTGAAGCCAGTGGTGCCGATTAAATTCATCATATTTTCAGACAATATAGAAAATTTTTTAGCTTTAAAATTTTTTAAATCATGTCTCAAATAATATACTCCGCACATCCCGATACCATGCAGGAATCTCAAGAAAAGGATGCTTTCAAAAATGCCGCCACATCCATAAACATCATGCCAGTTTTAGACCAGGCCTTTTCTTCTTTCCAAGATGTAGAGGTTTTTCTTGACTGCTTTTCCCGATTCAATAACTTCAGTGTGGTCTTGTTGAGGTCGCAAAAAATATTCGATATCGTCATGCAAGCTACTTTTGGCTGCTATCGATCCGGGAAATATCGATGTCGATCCTCTTCTTCTCAGAACTTATCTGTCTCACAACTTAACATGCATAGTCAAAAGTCGGTCAAGACAGACTGCCCCTGGAGGGTTAATGTAAGATATTCTACAAGAACCTGCAGGTTTGTCATAACAAAGGTAATTCTTGAACACAACCACTCGCTATCTCCTTTGCTTTCATCTAGCAATCGAATATTACTCAATCGAGATGAGATGAACTCAAATTCCATTCAAATCACAGACCGTTTGAAAGAATTTATCAGCAATAATGCCCTGCCCACTGAGAACTCCCCTCAAACAAGATCTCTCATCGCGGACTCTATATCTTTTTCCATGAATACTGCAAATAATATCAAAAGATCTAGACGGTCACGGAATAAGCCATTCCAGGCCAGCTACGGCTCTTCTTCTGTTGTGCTCTCGCAGAGATCGTGTCTTCATCAGCTAAATCACATTGAAAATGATGCACCCAGTCCCAAAAAGTTGGCAGAAAACAATGACCGACACGTATATTTTAATTGTACACACTCTGTAGGCGATTCACAGCTTCCAATTGACGATTATTCATACCCAACATTTAACTTTTCTTTCGAGGACCATTCAGATTTGGATAACCTATCACAGGCGATCAGCTATGACCTTTCAAGTGTATTAAGATTGTCGATGCCTTCTTTTAAAGAAACAGATCCATAGATTGTGCCATAATAAACCCAAGAATAAACAAATAATTTAAACTTTATTCTTTGGAGAAGGGCCACCTTTCCTTGAAGGAGTTTTCGTCCTTGCCGTAGAAGGCGTGGAATTGGTCGATTTAAGAATATCTTTTCCTTTCTGGATTCTTTCCTCCTTTTTGCCTTTTTTCTGAAGCCTGCTAGTTTGCCTCTGCATCTCCTTGTTAAAATATTGCTCTTGCTTGGATCGCTTTTTAACAATCAATTGATCTTCTTTTTCATTCACTCTATTTATGATGGCAGATATTTCCGCCTAGCATTTAGAAAATAAAAAGTATACCGGTGAAGCAAATATTTTTCCTTTCTTTACTGCTTTCTTTTTTTTTGCCCCTTCTGCAGAGGCAGCTTCCACAATGGGCCCTTCGCCATTTAATGCTGAAGTGGCCATCTCTGGGAAAGGAAATGATGATAAAGAAATCGGCTTTTGAGATTTGGCTTCTTTAGAGATTTTCTTGATTTGATCAAGCTCTTCCAAGGCCGATTTTTTTGCAGGATGTTTGCCACGAGTCCCCTTGTGGCGAGAGGATTTCATTTGAATGAAACAAAAAACAAATTACTTAAATTTAAAATTTAAAATAATATTTGTCCTCCAACCTCAAACTCATCATCGCCGAGTTGCTCCTTAATTTGTGTCTGATATTTTAATCCATTGTACTTTCTCTTAAAAATATGGTAAGCGCCCACCCATTCGACTGCCCCCACCATTTCACCTTTTATTAGATGTTCATTTGCTAATTTCTTTAGCGTGTTGATTCATCTGCAGTTACAATCAGATCGAGGAAGTTTATGACCAATCCTCTGCTCAAGCGCAAACAAATGGTATATCTTTATCCCTTTATTGCTAGGTCATTGATGTCATACATCCAGGTCTCGCCAACATTTCCCAAGCTGACCTTCGCGCAAAGCTTGCAAAGATGTACAAGGCAGACCCACAAGCTGTTGTTGTTTTTGGAAATAAGACCGCTTTTGGTGGTGGCAAATCAACTTGCTTTGCTCTTATTTATGACAATGTCGATGCCGTCAAGTCTTTTGAGCCAAAATTCCATCAAGTGCGCAATGGGCTTATAACAATCACCAAGCAGGGACGCAAGCTTCGCAAGGAAAAGAAAAATCGCGCCAAGAAGATTCGCGGCTCCAAGAAGCACAAGCCACAATCTGGCAAGAAATAAGGGCTATCTATTTAATAATACAGCCTCAAAGATATCATCTTAACGTTTGAACTCACTGTCTCGTTTTAGTTTAATTTTACTTGGTTGGTTAGATAATTAGTTTATTAAACAAATTCATTCAATAGTTTCGAAGCCCAAGCTCTTGGCCAAATTTTCCTTGCTATTACTGGTTAATTTTTTGTCTTTTTCAGATGTTAAACTTTCAAGCTTCTCAATACCACTAGAAGGGATTGATGAGGAGAGTGAAGCAGTAGATGCATTTTTTGTCCACTTGAGATACCAATCTGGGTCAATAGACTGATTTTTCGGAACATCTGGGGTAGCATATCTGGGAGAACATGTAGGCTTTGGAATATTTCTGAGATTGTCGCTGTTTTCAAAAAAATTGATTGTTTTTCCGGTTTCAGCGGTCAACAGCGAACTAAGCGATGCATTTGATGAAGATATGGAGGGCTGGGCAAAATCCTTGAAGATGTTAGAAACTGACGGGCCATTCGGAAGTACGGTGGGCTTTGTCAATTTGCTCTTCTCATCATCAAATTTTGTGGAAATCGAAGGCATGTTGATGGGAGCAGCGTTTGAAGAGACATATTCAAAACGAGACTTTGCTGGGGGAGCCGTCTTGAGGACCTCATCATTATTAACCCCTTGGAGGGCATCCTGTTTTTCAAAGCTCCCTTTTAATCCGAAAAAGGATACCACGGAGCTACTCAGCGCATCCTCAATCCGACTCAGAAACTCTTTCCATGATGGGCTCAGCAATGAATCGAACAGCCAAACGCTGATTGCATTCTTCCAAAACGTGACCTGATCCCTAAAAACTGGAGATAAATGATGATGATGATGATGGGGTTTTAAAGCTACTTGGTATTGTAGCTGTAATTATAGACTTACCTGATGAGAGATCTTTTACGCGGTCAAGTAGCATTAAAATTCGTTCTGAAAGCGAGCATGGGGGAGAATGCAAAATGGTAGACGACGTTTGCTCCTCTTTCAAGGACATTGCATTTTTCTGGAAGACCTCTTGATCGAGAGATCCAATTACATCATAAAGGGAGCCTTCGAAAATTTCCAAAGGAAGAGGAGTTGCAGGGTCAAAGGAAGTGTCATCTTCCTTGAGAGAACGCCATTCTTCAAAGGAGCTTTTCAAATTTTCCATTGAAGACGAGACATCATCATGTCCATCTTCTACGTCGTTGTTATAAATACGTAATCCAGGAAGAAACGCCGGAAGAGCCCCGGTTGCATATAAGGCAGTGGAACCTCTTAATTCCTGAGCTTCTTTCTCAGATAATCCTTTTTTACTTTTAAGGTTAAAGTCAACGGTCATAGTGATTGAGAAAAACGGAAAAAGCTTTTCCCTTTATATATGCATGTTTGGTGTTAAATAGATCCTATCAACGCTTTAATTGGCAGAGCATTAAAAACTAATTTTTGATTGGATAATGAAGTGACTTTATATTAATTGGACGAATTTCCAATTTTCAAGCACACAAGTTAATAGGCAATTTGTATTGGTGGAGCAACAAGGCTGTCAATAATAGCCATCATTTGCGACTTTCTTTATAAACTTGTCTTTTTTCCGTTTGCTTTTATCTGCGTAGGTCGCAGTTATTTATAAATGAAGTGAGTTTCAGAACTGCACAAAATGTTGTTTTTAACAAATTACAATGACACAAAGGCTATACCGAATCAGATTTGTGGTTTAAATTATGCATCAATAACAATAGAAAACACCCAAAGTTGAATTCCTTTTGGGGTTATTTAAAATTTAATGGGATGCAACTCAAAAATGCTTAAATTCACATCATCGTTACTCCAAAGAAGAAGCTACCTTATGAAGATGAAAGAACCATCATCAAGTTTTAAAAAGCCCGAAAGTGAAGCTGGGAGAGCTAATAGTCAGGAAAAAGTCGATCATTCTGAGGAAGCTGTGCAAGAATTTGGCGGGCCATCAGGGCCAGAACCAACAAGATATGGTGATTGGGAAAGAAAGGGAAGAACTTCCGACTTTTAACTTGCTATTTAAACTTTGGATGTTTCGATGGGATTTAGTCTTCCTTTCTAGATGATATGAATCGATGTTCGATATCATTAATAAATTCTGAATATTTCTTTGCTTTTTTTAACGCCTGGAGATGCGGTAGCTAAGTAAGATTCTGAGATATCCCATGAGTTATTGGATTTGCTTTGAGCAGTAATAGAGCTGAGATCTGATAAATCAAACCTTGAATTGGCATTAAAAGCGCCAATCGATCATCGAGATATATTCGAATTTGTCAATAAATTGTTTTTTTTGGGCAAAAAAGACCAGATGATAGGCTGAAATCGGGTTAAAGACGACTGAAACTTGAGAACTGAAATCCAGTGACTTTTCTCGGTAGTTCAATCGAAAATGGGAACTTTTTGTAGGCACAATTCAAAAGAAAAATACTATAGAAATCTTACTCAAAAATATATTCATTGCCGTCGCAATGAAAAGAAGAGATTAGGAAGGTAGACAATGTATCAATTGCACAAGCAAATTGAAGCTAGAAGATATAAAGTAAATGATGCACTAGCTTTCGTCGCCACCATTGCGAGAAAATCGTGTGTGATAAATAAAATATCGAGAATACTGTTTTGATGGAACCCAAAATGTTAAAAGACCAATATACTAATTTCTGATCACCAACTCGGCTAACATTTCTTATCCAACCAAGCTATTTTATTCCATTTTATTTAATTGCAAGAAATTAATTAATCCCTGTCATGGATTGTTTTTCTGGGCTGAGAATATATGCAGCCCAACTTTTGACCCCAACATTTGTAACAAGGTTTAAAGAGCTCCAATTTTATCATATAATCAGGGAGAGATTTATCGATGTCATGAATCTTGTATAGTATGAATAAAAGTTGAAGTAGCAAGATTTGTAAAAATTCAAGAAAACTTTTTGACCCATTATCACAAGTCCAAAAATTATGTTTTATTCACAGTAGGATTGTTCTTTGTTTTAAATCACAAACACACCTATATAAAAGCAATGAAATTACAGCGAATAAAAAGCATGTTTGTATTATCATTTATGTCTCTTCTCGTCTGTTGCTTACTCTTCATAATATTTCGGACTTAGAAAAGGGATAACCAAGCAGCTTAGTAATACGAATAGGCTGTGCTGCGCTAAAATCCAGCCTATTAATGACTCTCTTAAGTCAGGGCTGGCTCCTGGACCCCCATCGCAAGGGGGAAACGATGGAATATGGCAACTGTTTTAGTCTTGGTCGAAATTTTTTTAAATTGGTTGTTTCGCCAATTTGTAATACAAATTATGAATAAATTGTGATTTTTTAATTTAGAGTTAGGTGTTTATCTTAGTAACTATCCCAATTCGGATTTGACATTGATCCATGTTGCCATTTAAGTTTCGAGATCGAATTTTCCAATAGGTTTCAGATATCAAAGTCGCTATATCTGAAACTTATTGGAATGCCGTTGTGGAGACGTTCGAATCAACATGCGAACCAGACTCCTTAAATGATCCTATATTTATCTGTGAATACGATCAGGAATTTATTG